TTTGTAGTAATTGTTGTAATAAAGGGATTTTGATGTAAATTAAATTTTAATAAGGGTAACTACATTTATTGAGTTCAAATTCAAATACGAATTTTTTAAAGGTCAGTTTAACAAAGTCTTATAACAATGTTAATAAGTGTTAATAAGTGTAAATTATAAGTTAAGTTACATTTTATATAATCTGATTTAAATGCTTAAAGCTCAGGACTCATATTGGTTATTAAAGTATGCGTTAACATCCGAGTTTTATCAAATTATATTCCAATCACCCAAACCCCTTTTTTGCTGTGCATTCGGAAATGCAACCTGCGGCGATGTGACTGTTGCTCAAAAGACAGAAGTTCTGCTGCCACTGCGACTAGTGGCACTTGCAGCTGTCGATCCAAGCTGCTGGATCTGGAATCTTAAAGCTGTCACGAGCTAATGGCCAACCGGTTCAACACGCGTCTCGAAAATGAGCGAAATTAGGCAGATGCCGCGTCTCGAGATCGTGGATGTTGCACTTCCAGTTGCGCCGCAGCAGCTGCCACTTCAATTAAGCGAAAGATGTATGTCCCTGAATATTTGCCCGAGCTTATAAAATATTCATTTTTCAATATAGCAATTTTAACAGCAGGTTAAAAATATACAAGTTGCCGCCACAATAAAGTGAAAACTCTGACGGCTCTTTTTGAATTTCATTTCACTGCCGTCTCGAGGAAAGTGGTTTGGTGGGTGAGTGAGTGGGTGGGTGAGTATGTGTGTGGTTTCTTGGCCCACATATCGATAGCAGGTCCTTCCACGCACACACACACACACACACTGACTGGCTGGGGGCTCGTATCTGGCGGCGCACAAACACAAAGGATATCGACTCCCTTTGAGCAGAATGATGCAATTATTCACACTTGATTAAATACTCAAGGAAAGTGAAAGTGCGTGGAAGGAAGAAACCTCCTTGAAAGGCCCCCTGAAAAGCCCGCATTGAGATGTTTTCCAAAAATTCATAAATTTAAATTAGCAGCCAGTGGCTGGATGATACCGATGAAGCCATCGCCTTCGTCTAGTTTGCCGGCCTCACCTTGAAATCGTTTTTCAATTACTCCATCGAGCCGAACTGAGAACTGAGAGCTGCAAACTGTGTGCGCCGAGGGCCATTAAATGTATTCCATCTCGAGGACTCGAGACCTCATTTTCCTGTCTATGACGAGCCTCATTTGGCATCTTGCTTGATTTGCCGTTTTTATTTATTCATTCAACTGTCTGTTTGCGGCGCAAAAGCAACAGCAGGAGATGCTGGGCATCCGGCTGTCCGACAGCTGACTAACCAAATCAATTCGCATCAATATCGAGCAAACCCATCAAAGTCAGTCATCGGTTAGGGGGGCGGATTGGAGCGGAGCGGAGCGATGGGGGCGTGGCAATCATCTATGCCATCCATCCATCCATTCAACCATCCATCCATCCATTCAACCATCCATCCAACAGCCGCATCCTTCAGTGGGAATATTCTGCGTAGGAAGCACGCCAGGCTGCACATTGCTAATATCCTGCCGCAGCCCCACTTTTGCCAGTCCCTTTGTGCGTCACATATATGGGGCATCCTACTAATTGAAATTCATTCTCAATCTGCCAAAGCCAGAAAATCGCGCTGGCTTACTCGTCCCTGTTCCTGTTTAAACCTACGAAATTTCAATTTGCGCTTAGACGAGAAACTCCATCAAAATTCGTTGAACCATGGCAAGGGGTCGCCTCCTCACTTCGTCACATCTTCACATCATGTGCTGTGGAGGCCCATAAATCCCGGCTAGGTAGCACTATTATAGATATGGATGCACATATGTATATCCGAGACCCGGGGCAATTACCACATGCCACGTTCGAGCGGCGCAGCGGGAGTTCACTCTCAGTGGCGACTTCAAGAGCTCTGGCATTTTATGATTGTTTTCGTTTTCGTTTTCATTTGACATGTCCAACTCCCGCACTCCAACTTTCCACCTTGCCACATGCCGTCGATTTATTTGTGTACTCGCTCACATATGTGTGGGTTTTAATTTAGTTTCATCTTTCTGTCAACGAGCAGTCGGAATATGGCCAATGCAATGTCTATTTCCGTCTGGGTTAAATTTAGCTGGCTGAGGGACAAGCACTCTGTGCATAAACAAAACAACAATCGGCTTCTCATTAAATAAAAAAATAAAAAAACAATTACTTTGTTACTACAACATTTCTAAACATATCTGGGATTAGGCAAATATTAAAGTGTAAGTCACAAAGAGACAGGCTTCCAGTCTAAAACCATTTTACACATTAGTTTATACATTAATATTCCTGAAAACAGCCCAATAGTTTCAGATGCATTTGCGATTGCGATAGCATTAACATAAATATAGCCTAATTTACTGCTGGTCTAAATCAAAGCAGACAATAAATATAGCTTTATCAGTTATCAAATTGCTGCCTAGCTGGTTATATTTAAACGCATTCCATTCCTATTTAAAAAAGTATATTATTAAAAAATGTTTGCAAGTTCCTAATCAAAGTAAATTTAATTAGAGTAATTTTCTCCTTGTCTATCAACGCTTTAAATTTATCTCAAGATTGCCCATTAACTTAAATTGCCATTGGGACTGTGAATCAAACTCGCCAACACAATTACTACTGATCTAAGGCACAGCAGGCAATAAATAAAACCATTATCAATTATCTGGACCAAACATAAAAATAAAGCAAATTGCACATTAGTAAGGCATATAGTAATATAGAGAATTGATGAACAAATGAGTAAAGACTCAAATCAAAGCATATTGAACTGATTTTGTCAAGTTAAAATTTATAAAAACATATCTATTTTCAATTTCTTGTCTCGCAACACTTTTAATTTCGCTTGAGATTGCTGATTAATACCGATGACATTTTTCTTTTCCATGCTGGGATAATCGGGGGTTTTGGGAAACGGGGGAGACCACATTTGATTTACAATTACGTAAGTTGGTTTAGCCCACGCTGCCGCATTTTGAGCTCGGACCCTGGCTTCAGTCGGTGGTTTTCGGGGGCATGTGGGCGACCTGAGTCAATATTGAACTGGTTAGTGGACTCAAGGTGCTGCTGGGGCGAGAAATATCAACTGTCCGGTGGACTTTGGCTGCTCGTTAAGCCAAGTAGCTGAGTCTGGGCCAAACATGGGCGTTTTCCAGTTTTTTTCCCCCCATTTTTGCTCAGCTGCCCACACTTTCGTCCGCAATCTGGGCAGAGATTCGCTTCTTTCTTTTTTTTTTTTTTTGGAGAGGGCAGCGCAATTAACTTTGAACCAGCTCGAAAATGACAGCCGCACACAAGTCAGTTGCAGTGGCGATGCTTCCTGGAGATAGCAGATAGCAGATAGCTAAGAGCCAGGACGAAGATAATCTATATGCTTGAACCCGCACCCGAACCCGCACCCGAACCCGTACCCGAACCCGCACCCCCACTCTGTGTGCTTAACACTCTGTCCCCTTTGAGCAGAAGGATGCTGAAGGATGCTGAAGGAAGCTGAAGGAAGCTGAAGCTCCCCAAGTGGCGTCCACCGCCTCCTCCGCCAGCTCCGCCCACCATTGATGGCGCTTCGGTCAAGCTGTACTTGGTTCGTGGTATTGTCAATGCACTCCACTACATTTGCCAACTGTCAGAGACAAAAACGGCAAGTCGCGACGACTTTTCCGCACTCGCAGCCCCCCTTTTCACTCGACTTTCCCGCTTTTCTGGCTTTTCTGGCTGCACCAACACATGCCCACTGTATATCTATTACGGCGTGTTTGCCCTACACTTTTCTAGCTCTCCTGGTGGCACACATTTCTGTACCCACACACGGACAGGCGGCACTACGCACACATGCACACTACGCACACATGTACGCAGTTGACAGACAGACAGACAGACAGACGCAACTTTTCTGCGTTCGTGTGTCCTTGTGCTTGTTTTTTTGGTCGCCTTAGCCTGGCCTGTCTGTTTGTTGACATATTATGATCCTTGATTATTTTGTGCTGACAAATACATGCTTTTCCTTTTATATGTAGCTATAGGGTAGCCATGGACAGGCCTACATTTAGATAGACTCCGACTTGACTCCACTCTGATTTTGATTTTGATTCTGAATCGGATTCTGTTTTTGATTCTGTTTCTGATTCTGATACCTGAAATTGTTTTTGATTTTTGCTCTCTCCTTTTTGTCTCGTTTCCAAGGGGGCGTGGTCAGGTGCTTCGCTACTAATTGGCCTGGCTCTGCCACTTGCTATCCCTAGTTTATTAGGCTTTTAATGATGGGCGTACTTTGTAAATCCACTTCCATACCGACTCCAAGCCCCACACACGCCCACAAATGTCATGCAAAGCCATGGCCTGAGAAAAAAAACAACAAAACAAACCAACAACAAATCTGCTCCCAAAGCGAACCAAAAAACCCAAAACCAAACTGTGGGCGTCGACACAATATTTTGTAAATTATATTCGATTGTTTGCTTGTCTTTGTTTCTTTTTTCAGGGGGCCGAGGGAGCGGGGGGGGATAAAGCTGCTCTGGGATTGAGGGGCGGAAACTCGATAAGACCGCAAGTGCATGACACACAAGTACCGGTTGCCAGCTACCAGTTTCCAGCTCCAATCCAAGCTCAACTCCCATTTATTCCAAGCGCCTCAACCTGTTCGTCGATAATGCGTTTGATTGCAGCGGAAGTGGAGCGCTGTTGTGGTACGTGTGTCCGGTGCTTCTTGCTTCTTGCCTTGCATAATGTGTAATTATTAATTAGTCTAGCATTCGTCCCAGCCCACGGGGGCATGGCCACGCCCCCCAATGGCTACTCCCTACTTTAATGGCTGCGAACAGAGTGAATCCCTTTGGCTTCCTTCTCAAGCGAACCGCAGCCAGGTCCATTAAAAGGATAAAGGCAAAGCCAAAGGCAACCTGCAACATGCAATGCCTGCTAATGAGCAACAGCTGTTGCACTGCCAATACCCATCATCCGTCCTGGTCAAGTTGTCAACTTACCCAGGCCAAGAAGCTGAAGATGTTTAATCCAATGTTGACGGCAGCGTCGTCGCTTTGTTGCATGTTGCTGCCATTTGATGTGTTGCTGCTGCTGTTGCTGATGTTGCTGCTGGTGTTGCTGATGGTGCTGCTGCAAAGCCATTTTTCTGGCCGTTATGCTCGCTTTGTTGGCTATTAGCGGACTGTTCTGTTGAGCCAAGGCAAAAAAAAAACCCGATGATGCACTATAAAGCGCAGCAGTTACCGTTGCTGCCTCTCCGGCTGTTGCTGCGACACATTTGTTTGGGGAGCACTGGTAGCTTTTGAGCTGGGATCACTTTTTGTCTGATTTTTGAAACACCCGCGAGGCTGTCGCGTTTTCAACCGGTATTGGATTAGGGCCGCATTGTGGCGGCTATTCACATGACCGCAGCCGCCGGAAATGGGGGCGAAAAAGGGGGCGCTTCGGCTGGGGTTCTTGGCCTGGTCTAGGACTGCCACTGCCACTGCCACTGAAACTGCCGCTGGGCCACTTTAAGATTCGCACTTGCCATCCGCTGGATGTTGGCGCAGCGCAGACTCGATAATTTGGCGTTGTTATCGCGGCACGAGTGCTGTGCGAGTCGAGTGTGTGTGTGTTTGTGTGTGTGTGCTTTTGCAGGAGTGTGGGTGAGCGGTAGGCTCCTTGCGAGGCAGTCGAATAACGGAACGGAACGCGGAGCGGTTCGCCTGGCGAGCGTCCTCACGGAATCAGAGCTAAAACCGAACTAAAACCTCGAAGCTCGCGCCGCGACGACCGCCAAAGAACGAGCTCGAATCCGAGTATCTGTGAAATACATTTATCTCCGAATCGGCTGCGTGCAGCAGGAGTCCACTGAGAGAGTCGTACACAGAGAGCGATATGTACCCAGATATAGATATGTGAGTATAAGAGAGAGTCGCGGAGCCGTCTGTAAACACTCCACTCGAGCACGTTGTTGTTTGTTGTTGTCCGAGTGTGCGAGTTGCAAGTGTGTTGCTGTTGCTGTTGCCGCCGCGCGAAGCCAAGCCGGTTATGCCCACAGCCCATACGCTTATACTGCGTTTCCGGGGGTGGAAGTCGCACAAGTATAAGTTGGTCTTAGAGCACAAATAATATAGAAGTCTTCTGGAGGGTATAAGATTCCAGCTTCGGTCTTCTATTTTTGTTTTCAGTTGTTCTTGAGACCATTTCTACTACTACTAAATAGCTTTAGTTGAGCGGCATAAGTATAATATAATATAATATAATATTTCATAAATGTTTAATTTATCAACTTATTTTTATTTATGTCAATTCAAGCTGCTTACTATATGCCATTTATCTGTAAACGATTGCAAGACCGCCAAACATAAGAAAATATTGGTATATAAAAAATATGAGTATGAGAAAGTAAATAATAATAATTTTATTTTATTTTATTTTATTATTTAATATAAAAAAAATACTTTTTTGTAGAACATATATACAAACTTTGTTTAGTGTTTAATGTTTACGACAGCTTATAAGCGGGTTGTATAAGTTAACCATCGTTCTTAATTTCAATGCTATTTTGGTATAATTATAAGTAAAAGTCGCATAAAGTATAAGCAACTTATACTTGAATTCAAATGCCTTCTGGGGTAAAGAAAGTATAAGTAACGAAATCACATAGAGACCTGTATAAGTGGCCAGCTATAGTACAATTATAAGTTATATGAGGCCTTTAGCCGAATTTGGTATAAAGACTTCTACGCCATCAATTTGTATAAGAAAAGAACACATTGCAACCAAGCATACCAACTGAAATATAAGTATAAGCCTAAAGGTATACAGGCTACTAAGCAGTCAATTTATATAAGAAAATAACACATTGCAAACTAGCATACAAGCTGAAATAGTATAAGTATAAGCCCAAAAGGCCTTAAGCTGGAATTGGTATAAAGCTACTACGCCGTCAGCTTGTATAAGAAAACCACAATGCATAAACTGTTATACACAGGCCGTATAAGCGAGTATGCTGTAGAAGTTTGAAGCAACTTCTCGCACTCTGGTTAAATGTTCGAGGCTCGAGTGATTTGTTTTTGTTTTGTTTTTGTTTTGTTTGCCTTTTGAGTTGTTTTTTTGTTTTTGGGCTTCGGGGGATATTCCCTAATTGCAAAATATGTCTGGTTCTAGGCAATTGTGTTTCGTCATACCTACTCGAAGTTTTAACCTGTGTTTCCTTCGCGTGCACCAGCCCCCATGCCACGCCCCTGCCCTTTACGACAGCAATTTTCATATCATTTGCACGGGAATCACCTTATATACATACATAGTATACTCGCACTTAACCATAACCATATGAGTGGAACGCGAGCCTCCAAACACTTGTTACACGCAACGCTCAAAGTCCCCTGGGATCGCTTCCCTTGCAATTTTCCGCGCTGAATGCTATTTGGCAGCAAAAGATGAGAATTTCAAAGAATTTTTTGTTCAAAATTACGAAATTGTATGTCGGCTTTTGGTCTAAACTGAGGAGGGGCAGCCTGTTATAATAGAAATAATGAGGGCAAAAACAAGGAGCCACAATAAAACCCAAATTAAATATATTCCGTCGCAATATTCGTGAGAATTCGCGGGGGCAAGGGAACAACTCAATAATCCTGCCCAATTTTCCTGTTTCTTTAATTTGCAAAGTGCCCGCTTATCTCTTGAGCACTCGAAAGTGTTGTCTAAACGAAAACAATCTTAAGCACAGGATTTTTTTCCCGGAAACGCAATCGAGTTACTCGGAAATCAACAAATAAGAATATTAAAATACATTTTTTTTCTACGATGTTTAAGAAATACTAAATAATTTTTCAAATTATTTGCTATACAATATGCACAAAATAATGATAAAAAAAAGCAAGCTTTCGAAGTTTACAAACTATTACAGTTATTGCAAAAAGTAAACATTATTAAAAACAACTTTATTTGGATTCTTATGTGTATATGCTGATATTTCGCTGAATTATTCGATTCTTCCGGTTTTAATAAAAATATAGGTCTTCTGAAATACTAGACACACCAAAAAAATTGTCATAAAACTAAACTATTGTTACATTAATGCTATTTGAAGTTAAAAATTTATGAACAAGATGAGTAATAAATTAATACACAAGTATAAACAAACTTCATAGAGTCGGAAATATTCCATTTTCTCTGGACTTTAATTATCATAAGGGTACCCAGAGAAAAACCCCATATTAAAATTTAACATTAAAATATTTAAATGTAACTTTGTTTTTCAATATACAAACGATCTTAAAATTAACTCAAATCGAGATAATGTAATTATTAAAATATTTAATTGGTTAACCAAACAAATTGTGGGTTTAAATTTTTTTTAATTTTAAAGTGAAAAATTTTATATTTTAAAGTGGAACATTCTTTGATTTAAATACAACACCCTTCGGGTCTTAATTTGTAGCGAAAATATTTAATTGAAAGTCAAAATATTCGGATTCACCATGAGGATTCTCTGGGTGTATAAAAATGAATAAATTTATCAACAAAAAAAACCTTTTTATCAGTATAAGCGGCTTAAATTGTTCAATTGTAGTTTTAATAAGTTTTGCAGCGGTCTTTTAAAGCCGAAAGCAAAGAAAGTGTTTAGCAGAGGGTGTCCTTGAGCAAAGGAGAAATAGAACAACAGACAGAGACATAAGCCAGAATGGGCCAACCAAAGTTGCGATGAATTCGTTTTGCTCATCATTCTGCACGTCATTCGGTGTCCTCGAATCTCCTTGTTTTTCCGCATTCGCCAGATGCAACGGATGAGGGGGAGTCCTTGCTAGTCGGCACCTTCGGCGAATCTCCCTTTTTGGGCTATGTATCACCCGCCTTGGGCTGCTGGCTGGGGCCAAAACAAATCAATAACAACAACGAGAGTTATGTACCCAAGGCATTGAATCCCCTGCCCCTGCCCCAGCCCCAGCCCCAGCTCAGCCCCTTCCTCTACAAGCTGCAATTGGGAGCGTCGAGCTTAAGCTACATCGCTCCTAAGCTAAGCCTCCATCCCATCCATCAAGACTTGAATACCCTCGGCTCCTCGCATTCCGTTTGCTGCCAGGATCCGCCACATCAATCGTGAATCGAGAGCCGCACACACACCTCACTTTCCCCTGTCCCGGGGCATTTCCCTTTTTACACACTGAGAAAAATAAAGCAAGTTCTTACTTAGTAAAGATGTTAATACATCTCAAACTTCTCTTTCAGCTAATAAAGTTCGGGCTCTAACATTAATAAATTGATTGTTTTTAAAATCCTAGATACTTTTTTCCTCTTTAATAATTCTCTCCAAATTAAAAATGGATTGATTTTAAAATCATAGATATTAGTTTAACACTGTCTTCATAATATGGGAATTTCAAATCATTATTATAAACTTTTTCATGAGCAGGCTCAAAAAATACAATTATATTTTCTTCCCAAAATTTAAATTGTTATTTGTTAAATGTTAATTGCAAATATTAAATTAGATATTATCTATTAAATATTATAAAAAATTTAGTTGTGCATATGTCTAAATAAATTATACAATTTTTAAAAATAAACGAACATTGTAATGCAATTTTTTGTATAAAAGAAAAGAATAGAAAACTAAAAAAATTTTACAAAACTATGCAAACTATTAAAGATCTTTTTAATACAACTCCGCATATACTCATGTTTTTTATGAACATTGATGTGGGTAAAGATTTCTCCGAGTGTGCTTCATCTCTGTACTTCAGTTGTTTTTCCTGCTTGTGTACTGCGTTATTCTTATTTTTGGAGATGGGGCCCCGAAACAGCAGACATTCGTAATCTTCAGTTTCTTTTGCCTGCCCCACCTCGATGAGACCCTCCAGTTTCTTTGAAAGCCCCACAGCCCACCTTGTTTTCCATCAGTTTGGGGGCGCGGTCTGGGTTTTCCTCACAAGGCTGAGGCCGGCTGGTTTAACTAGATTTTCCTCATTGTTGCTGCCAATATTTGCCCACTGCTGTTGATTCTCTTTGCCGTACCGGTGTTCTTATTCGTAAGCTTTGCATTTCCACACCTCAATTTCCCTGTCAGCAGTAACTGGATTAACTGCAGAATGCATTCCGTATTTATTCTTTAATTCCCTGCCGCACACGTAACACCTAAATACTCCTGCTCTGGCAGTGGGCACTTTAACAAAAATGAAAAGCAAATATTTTCGCTCGCATTCCGTACAAGTGAAGCATAAATGTTTGTTTGAAAAATGAGCTATCCGCTTATTGTTTATAAATATTTTTGAGATAGAACAGTGAAACTGAGCCAAATACTTGGGCAACTCCCAAGTCCCGATTCCACCCACATAGCTCAGACATTTTCGAAGATTAATTTGCAAACAATGTTCCATATATACAATTCGGGATTGGCCAGGCACGCAATCTCCGGTTCTGAGGAGCTCTGCCAGGCGGATGGATTTCGATTCCGGTCCACGTTTCACAGTTCACTTTATGTTTGCTCTCTCTTTTTTTAATTATATTTTAATTTATTTCGGAGCGGAACGGGGTGGGGCGTGGAGGGTGTATAAAACTCAAGGAGACATTTTTGCGGTGTTTTCTTTTCATTTTCTTTTGGCACTTTTGCATCTCTTAGTTTGTGTGCGCGACCATCTAACTGGTATACACAACAAAATTAACACATTCGTTGTGATCCAAGGAGCTACTGCCACTGCCACTGCCACTCCCACTCCCATGCCCCCCACTCCGTCCTCTCGCATTTTCACCCAACTTCGCCCAACACAAACAATTGCAAGTTATTTGTGAAAATTTTATTGTAATTACAAAAGTTTTCCCATGTTGTTTTGCCACGCTTTCACCCCTCTTCGACCCTCTTTCGATGCCTTGATACCTTGAATTATACACAAAATAGGTTTCCCTCCCATTCCCATTCCTATTCCCATTCCCATTCCCGTTCCCAATCCGAATCGCATCCTCATTCCAGCTCCTGCCCCTCGGTCTGGTTCAATTTCGTATTTGGGACTCGGTTCGAAAACTCAGTGTTTCAGCAAACTTTATCCACTTCATTATTTGCTCGTTTCCATTGCTGTGTTTCGCTGTTTGCCTGCTTGTTTGCCAGTTTGCATTGTTGGCTCGTTTCGATTTTAATTGTATCTGCGTGCAGAGGCCACCACCACCCACTCACCCACACGCCATTCACCCACATCCATAGCATACACCCCCATCACCACACCCCATCGCCCCCAAGTACTTGCGAGTATATTAAATACCGGAAAGTTCTCAGGTCACTGAAGGGCAAGCGGCCATGGGAAACAGCAAGCAAGCCGTGGATAAACAGGTGAAAGTGGTCCGGAAAGTGCGTGCAGGATACAAATTCAAGGATAATATTTCGCCTCAAACGATGCAACTTGATAGCCAGATTAAAACTTCCGAAGATTAAGTGAGATGAAACAATAAACGCGTTTACTACAGAAGCATAATTTAAAGTAGATCAATAAATGTTACCGCTAGTGCGACTAGTTAAATCACTTTAATTTTAAATTTAATAAATATATTTAAATATTGTTATAAAGTATACTTTAATTAATATTATATTTGCATAAGGACAAAAACGTTTAACCTTGTTTACCATTAAAAAAACTGAAAAATTAATATCAATCGAGTTTCCCATAGAAGATTGGTAATGAACTATGCTATAAAAAAGGGTTCAGCAGAAGTATCTCTTCAAATGAAATTATAAATTTGGGGAACACCTAATTATATTTGCACACACTTATTTATCTTGGTTAGGATATTAATCGTTGCTTGTGATGTTTCTATAGCACAACGTTCTTAACTTTCACCACTCATGCACTTAATGGGGAGTGAACCCGGCTATGATAGTAGTAAGTTTCGACTGCACGTCAGCTTTCTACGGTGGCCAAAGCTTAATGTCTTTGAATTAATGTATAGAAATCCGGACTGGCAAACAAATGTTCGTTTCGTAAATTTCAAGAAAACTTGTATTAAATGAGTTAGCTAGTTTGGTAAACAAAACCACTCCTTTTTCGTTTCCAACGTTTTTTTTTAGAAAAAATTTTAAATTAAAATTATTGATACTTCTTAAAAATCTGAAAAACTCAGAACAAAAAAGTTTAAAAAGCCATTTTTAGCGCTTAAATTATCCGATCGCAAGGCCAATATGTAACCTTTATCAGCTTCGTTTTTTTTCGAGAAGTTCTTCTTTTTTTTCAACCAAAAGCATACGATTTACCAAACGAAGCGGTATTTTAGTACTTAACACTTAATAGTTAAAAGTTAGCATATAGCGGCCATACCGGCAGTCTTTGTCCGCTATTCTAAGAGTATTTTTCTCTTATTTTACTAAACTAAACTAAAACCGTTCGATCCCCAATAGAATGCCCCACTGTAGAAAGTCTTGTGGCACTTTTTTATTGATTATGCTGCTATTCTAGTCGTAGTAAAAGTTGCCGCACATGCGTTTGCCGTTCCTCAGGCGCTTGAGCGGCGACTTGGAAGGCACGGAGTATACGTGTGGCTGGTGTTGGGACTGGATCTGCTCCTCCTCGGACAGGACGCCCGGCAGGATGGAGTACGGATGCTGGGCCATCAGGGCGCAGTCCTTCTGCTGCTGCTCCTGCTGCTGGCGCTGCTGCTCGTGGAGCATTCTCATGTACTGGTCTTGGTACTCCGGCTGCTGGTAGAGCTGCTCCTGCCGCATCTGCATCTGCCGGGAGTAGGGAACGCCACTGCCCCTGCCCATGGCCATGGCCATGATCTCGGTGGGTCGACTACACAAGGGCACGCCGTACGTCTTCTTCGAGCGACCGCGCATCCTGAGCTTTGGATGCTGGCCCTCCCATTTCCGTCCAGATGCAGAGCTCGTCGGAGGCTGACCCTCCGCTCCGCCAGCCAGCTGGGCCTGATGGCTAACCCGCGGAGTCCTCTTGGCGTCCACCACCAGGATTTTCCTTCGCCGTGGCGAGCGGAACGATAGGCTCGGCCGCTTTTGGTCGGTAGGACTCGAAGCCCTTACCTTCTTCCTCTGAATTCCAGGCCGAATTGGAGGCTTCGTCGCTACTTCAGCCTTCTCTAGTCTTTCGGGCTTGTCCGGACTTCTTGCGGCTCTTTTCGCCACATCGATTTTCGCCGGCCTGGCCCAAATCTTGCGTTCCACTCGCTTTCGCTCGCGATCCCTCAAACCCTTCGGCCTTTTGGGCCCGCGGATGCTCGCGAAATCGGATGGATCACTGGCCAGTTGCCAGGCGGCATTTACCCGGGGTTGCGGCTTGGGCTCAGCTCCCACAAAGTTCGGCGGGTCAAAGGTCGGCAGTCTGTCGTGGTTTTGCGAGCTGGTGGCCTGGCTAGGAAAGTACTTCCGCAGCGCATGACTAGAGTCCAGGATGCCCGGCCAGTTGCATCCTTTCGAAGATCTCGAATATGCCATTTTGCGTTTGCTAACACTCAATTTGGTTTATGTTTTGATGTTCGAAATGGGTCTGGTCTTAATTTTTGTTGTTGATAAAATCAAAAAAAAAGTTCCACAGAAATGTGTAGATAGAAGTTGAAATGAAAGGGGACAAGATTCAGGGCAAAAGTCACACTTATTCATTGGCCTGACCCCATGTTCGCCATTCGGTCCTCGTTGTTCTGTGTGTGTTGTGTGTGTTTTGGGGGTGCTGAGCCCACAAAACCGCCTACCCACAGATGGACAGACAGTAAATCGGTTCGTGGCATTAATGCAAATAAGTGGAAACACAAATATTTTCACCGTTTTTGTGGTCTGGACCGAACTGCGGCAGAGAGGAAACCTTTTTTTTTCTCTCGTTTTTCGTATTTCGTTTTTTCGGCCATAGCCGTTTTGGGACGACAGACGGCACGAGGGTCGATGGATCATTTCCGCTCTCCTGACTGCTGTCCCTTTGGCTCTTTGGCTCTTTGGCTCGGGTTCCCTTTTCCGCTGCCATATTCCGGGACCGGGACCGAGTCCGGGTTGCCGAGCTGGCCGGCAACCGTTTCCTGTCGGCGGGCGCAGTTAAATATTGAAATTTATATTTAAAATATTTCAAATACACAGTTAAATGCTACTGCCGCCCCCTCCCCCCTTCTCGCATTTGCCATTTTTTGCACTGCCCTCGCATTTTTCACTTTAGTTTATGTGGAGCATGTTTAATTTATGAGAATTGCTGGTCCTCTTCCGGTGCTTCCAATATCACTCCCACTCCCCCACTCACGCATTGAGCCCGATGCCAATGAATATGAAAAATCAATTTGAAGTTTGGGCACCCGACACTGAAGGTCAAACGCTTGTTTTGGGGCCATTTAAATGCCAACGTGGAACGTGGCAGCGTTTGCCATCGCTTCGAATCGGGTCGAAAGGGCCGAACTTTGTCACCCAAGTCGGCCTAATGCGATTGTTACATTTCGCCTTAATTTCCTGCAAAAGAACAAACATTTGTGACGTTTTCTCGGGGTCTTCTTGGGCGGGTCAGTGTCTATCTCATCCGGTCGTTCGCTCCCCTCGATTTCCAATTAGCAGCAGAAATCACCTTTTTCCCCCCCCAGATTTGTTCTTGTGTTAATTGAGGATTTGCACTTGCTACGACTTTATGTCCATTGAGGTGGGATAAAAGGGCCGACTTTAATTTGGTTGAAACGCAAATTCTTTTTCGTTTCTTTCGATGGCGCAATAAATGGGCGGATAAGGAGGCAGTCAAGGACTCGGACACGCGCAGGATAATTGTAATGCCCTCCCATCTTAAGTCTGAGAGTTTTCAGGGGGGAGAGGGTAGATGGGGAGATGGGGAGAAGGGGAGGGTAGCTCGCCAGATTTTGGACAAGTTTTATGGATGGCGAGGATTGCATTTCCTGTTTGGCAGGCAACAAAGCAGGAACCGGAAGCGGGAGAACCAAGAGCCGTTGGAGCGGGGCGAAGTCCACGGATCCGCGATTCCAAGAATCCAAGAATCCACGAATCCACTTAGCGGCGCATAAATTTCGCTCGGTACATAAAGTACAAGTGTACAAACAAAAGGACTTTTGGCGCACGGCATTAAAAACATAAAGAAACCGCATCGAGGGCCAAGGACCAAGAGCCAAGGAGCGAGGAGCAAGGACCTAGGACCAAAACCAAGACCAAGACGAGGTGCACCCGCCCGGGAGCCTGGATGATCCGGGTCACATAAACAGCGGCGAGTGAATAAAATCGCAGCCTCAACGTGACAGGGGGGGGTATGGGGCAAATCGTAGGCCAAGTCAGGCGGCCGGGCCACTGCATTGCTATTTACAAAATGTCCTCGACCAAAAAGGAGCGACCGAGTGAATCATAAAGAGTCCTTGCTCAGGCTGAAACTGGAATGAAGCTAAAGCTGAGGCTGAATACGTAGCTGAAGCTGAAGCTGGCAAGAGAAATGCACGTAAAATAATAAACAAGGCTTTGCAAACAATAAATGTTGCTCTCGACCTGCCCCTGCATAGCCACCACCCAACCACCCAACCACCCAACCAACCAACCACCTAAGCACCCAACCACCCATCAACCCACTCAGCATCACATCTCTATTCTTACCACATCTGGCAGCTGCAATGCTACGAGTTGTTAGCGACACTGGCGACGAGATTTCTGCCTGTCCATTGTTAGGCTCCGCCTCCATCCTTCCCCGAATCCGGAGCAGGATGCTCCTTCCCCCATCTTCCATCCTTCTGCGTTCCGTGTTCGTCGCGATAAATGCGAAATGCTTGTAACTGCAATGCAAATGTAATGTGCAAAGGACATTTTACTCGGCTGCTGCAGTTGCTCATCCCGCTCCATGTCCCTTTCCATTCGCCCGTAAATATTCCCTCTCAGCAGCGGGGTCAGGGGGCGGAGGTGGCTACGGGTGTGTCCAGGGGTCAGCCTCCTGCATCCGCTGATGAGTGGCCACCACCCATCCGCAATCCAGCATCCAAGTGGCAACGCACGGCAGACGCCGGTCGCTTTTTGCCGCTGGCGACGTCCTTATTAATTGCAACAATAACTGAGGCCCAGGCGACGAAGGCTCGCCGCTTTTACGGGGGCAGGGACACCACTGCACTTAGCGAAAATTGTTGTCTTCATTGCACCTTCTAAAGTTAGACCCATTTTTAAAAGCAAACAACATAAATACTTTTCATGGCAAAGGAATCATAAATGATTTAATTTTGAATAAACTTAAAACAGTTACAATAAAACTTATTTAAAATCGTTAGAACTCTAAAATTTATCAAAGTTAAAAGTCTACATATTAAATATTTATAAATCGTTTAATATTATTAGACTTAATATTGTTCTTTTGTTTTTTATTTTATTTAATATTTGAATATTTCCAAAGTAATTTGTGAACGACTTTAGGTAACTCCATATATAACTTGGAATTTCGTTATTAGGCCTTAAATATATTTTTTAGTTATAACTTGTAGTTTTTTAATTAATATACATAGGTACATAGAGGGTTACTACAGAAATCACTAGGCCTTTAAAATTGATTTAAAAAGGTGTCTATAAGTATGCAATGAGAAATAGAAGCGGCGCCGTTGGTAATAATTCTATAGGACTTTCGAATTAAAAATATACTGTGTAATGTATATTGCATACTTGTAGGCGACTTTAAAAGAGATTTTGAAAACTGTGTGATTTAAGTATTACCTCAAAAATCTCGCTGTTTACGTTCTGGAAACATTGTTCCCAAAATCAAGCATTTTTTTCACTGCACTTGGAGTAAATTTCAGCCGGAGCTTGGGTAATGGCGGGCGCACCGTAAGTCTTTCAGCTTTTTGCCTGCAAATTTATGGCTCGGACCTGCAGCTTTTTTGTGGACCAGCGACCACCGGAAGCGGCACTTAGCTCTTGGCACCGGCACTGGCACTGGCACTCTGTACTCTGGCCTCCCGCCCTCCTGTCCACCACCAGTTCATCATCCGCTGGCGGGTCAGGTGCACTCCACTCCACTGCAGAGGATGACGATGACTACACTCGGTGATACCGATAAGTAATTGGGGAGGGGGCGTTTCTGCCGCGGGACGTTCAGTGGGCGGAATGTGGGCCAAAAGTTTTCCACCGGCAGTAAAAACAATTCGTATATCAAAATTTCAATGCCCCTTCTTGCCCCTCGTCTAGTTTGTATGGCGAAAGGCTTTCGCGGGGGCGGCCGGCAAACATTTAAAAGCAATAAAGAGCGATGCAAATGTTATCGGCGAAACTCGCGGCGTAGCGCCGGCAGAGCAGAAATTACCGAACAGATTCTCGTCCTCAGCCAGGTATAGGTATTCAAATTAGAGAGATCTCGCTCAGGAGTGAAATGAGGCAAATGCCACTGGTCCTGCTCCTGGTGGCCGTAAAAAGTGCCGACGTCCATAAAAACCCAGCCAATTGGATGGGTGGGCGGTGATGGAGGGCAGAGTAGGGCAGGGTGTGGCATGGTAGGGCCAAAAGTGCCAGGCCGTGATTTCGTTTTTTTTCTCGGTGTCGTTTGCCCCGGCAAATAAAATGAAAATGTACTCGCTGAGCGCGCAAGAGTTTTGTAGAAAAAGTTTATTTTAATGAAATTCGCACCGACATTTGATGGCACACGAAAAAGGTAAGGGGGATTGCGTCAGCCGGAAGTTTGGAGTTGGGTCTCATGTTTGATTGTTAGCCCCGCAAACGGGCTCCGAAGGGTGAAAGGTGTGGTGCAAAGTGAAAGGTGAAAGGCAATCCTTTGCATACGGATCCCCCGGAATGGTATAAAGATGGACCGGAGTCAAGCAAATGCCGCGGGTACAGTCGGCAATTGTCTTAACATTTATTCAATTTGACTACCTAGAAAATCGTAAAGTTTATTTGCTACTTTCCACTGCCCCTGTGAAGTTTTTCCTTGGCCCTAGCAAAATTCCAGCACTTTTGGCGGCCATAAATCTGCGACACAAAAGCAAAAGCAACCACAGCAAACATGGCTAACATTTTACTTGTTGGGGTGTGGGAACTTTGAGTTAAACATTTTTAAAAGCCATAAATTTATTGTTCTTGCGAATGATGTTGTTGTTGTTGTGCGTTACCCTTGTTGTTGTTGCTGCGGTGCAGTCAAGTGGAAAAACGCAGAAGTAGGTCGTGTTGTTGGTTGTTTGGTTGTTTAGTTGCTTGGCATCTTGAGTTTCTGCCGCTGCTCAGTCGCTTATTTAATTCGATTTGTAAGCTAATTCCTGAAATATTATCTGGAAATGTTCAAAATGTAGTTAAGATTTTGTAATGAGCGAACGAAAATTTCTGACTTACGGTCTTTGAGCTTGGTTAACCGTTAAAGCTCATATTTCCTGTGCTAAAATCATGATTTTGACTATCGATTACCATTTAATAATACTATTACACTCTTGTAAATAATATGTAATATATACAATTTACTAGCCACATCCCTTCGAACGCAACAATACCTCAAAAGGCGATTACTTTACTGTTTCACAGGAGAGAAGTCTTCATTGTCTGATTTTCCTCCTATTCAAATACAAGTCTATTGTTTAGTGTAAAGCTTCTCCCCCATTGAGTGAGATACCTCTGATTTAAAGTAATCAATGGGCAAGGCT